GAATTCACTTTCCAAAAGGAAACAACTTTCCTGCAAACAAACGGGGCCTAAACTATTCTAGCATATTTTGTTTTTTTACGTGGTCTGCAACAGATTAATAATTATTTTTATTTTAAATATATAAAAATATAAAATATGATTTTAAATATATAAAAATATAAAATATGATTTAAAATATTTTATATCTAGTGATTGAGCTAGATTTAATAGTTTTGGGTATGTTATCATATCAAAATAATATAAAAATATCAAAAAATATTTATGTGAAGTGAGGAAAAAAAAAATTCAAGATTTTTTTGAAAGTAATTTTAAAAGGCAAAAACAAACACACTTTAAGAAGAAAATTCAACCTGACCTCAAATAAAAATAAACATATCATTACTCAATTTTTGTACAATATAAAAAAATAAATGAGAGACAAGAAAAAAATAAAAAAAAAAAGAAAAATATTAGTTATCAGTGTATTAGGCGCTGCTCTGCCATGTCCTTTTCATGATGCTACTCTTAAAAATACTTTATTTGAAGATGATGATAGTGAAAATACGTTCCGTGTATTTAACCCAACTCAAGTATTTTTATATTTGAAAAGAATTGTTACTGACTCGTTGCAGAGTGTGGGCCAATATATTAATTATTATATCATTACATAATGGTTATTTTTAAAAAATAATTAAAAAATAAATTTAGATAATATTTTTAATTTATTAAATTTGATTTTTTCTATCATCATGTCAAAATAATACAAAAATATCAAAAAATATTAATTTTAAGCACAAAATTTATTTTTTAAACCATTTTTAAAATGTAAAAACAAACATGCTTTAATAAGAAAATTCAACCTCACTTGAAATAAAAAACAATTATCATTACCCAACTTTTATACAATATAACAAAAAATCACATCAATTTATTTATTCTTTACAGTATGAAAAAAAAACACAATAAGAGAAAAAAAATAAGAGGGAAAAAATCAAATTAAAAATATCTTAAAAGAAAAAAAAATAAAAGGAAAGAAATTAATCGCTAGAGTATTGGACACTGCTTTGCTATACCTTTTTCACGGCGTTGTTGTTAAAAATATTTTATTTCAAGATGGTTACAGTGCAAATACATTTTGTGCATTTAACCCAACTTAAATTATTTTATATTTAAAAAACTTATTATTAACCAGCCGTGGAGCGTGGGCCAATATGATAGTTATTATATTATTATGTAATTATTATTTTTAAAAATAATTTTAAAAATCAATATATTGAGATAATATTTTTTTATTTTTTAAATTTGATTTTTTATATCATCAAATCAAAATAATACAAAAATATCAAAAAATAGTAATTTGTAGTAAAGAAAAAAAATTAAAAATCAATTTTTTAAATGCAAAAACAAATATGCTTTAACAAGGAAATTCAATCCAATTTAAAATGAAAAACAATTATCATCACCCAACTTTTGTACAATATAAAAAAAGTCACAAAAATTTATTTCATCTTTACAATATGAAAAGAAAACTCAATAAGAGAAAAGAAAAGAAAATTAAAGAGGAAAAGAATCAAATTGGAAATATCTTAAAAGAAAAAAAATAAAGAGAAAGAAATTAGTTACTAGTGTATTAGGCACTATTCTACTATACCTTTTTCATGATGCTATTGTTGAAAATACTTTATTTGAATATGGTGATAATGCAAATATATTTTGTACATTTAACCCACCTTAAATATTTTTATATTTGAAAAAAGATTGTTATTGACCCGCTGCAGAGCACGGGCCAATAAACTAGTTATTACATTATTACATAATGGTTATTTTTAAAAATATTTTTTAAAAAATATATTGAGATAATATTTTTTAGTATTTTTTAAAATTAATTTTTTGTGTCATCACGTCAAAATAATACAAAATTATCAAAAAAAATATTAATTTAAATTAAGGAAAAAAATTAATTTTTTAAAAGCATTTTTTAAATATAAAAGCAAACATGCTTTAATAAGAAAATTCAATCCAACTTGAAATGAAAAACAATTATCATCAATTGTTGTACAATATAAAACAAGTCACATCAATTTATTTTATCTTTATATGATGAAAAAAAATTAATAAGAGAAAAGACAAAAAATTAAAGAGGAAAAAAAATCAAATTGGAAATATCTTAAAAGGAAAGAAATTAGTTACGGGTGCATTAGGTGATGCTCTACTATGCATTATTCATGGTTCTACTATAGAAGATATTTTATTTGAAGATAATGATGGTGCAAATACATTTCGCGCTTTAATCCAACTTAAGCATCTTTACATTTAAAAAAAAATTATTATTAACCTGCTGCGAAGCACGGGTCAATATGCTAGTTATTATATTATTATGCAATGGTTATTTGTCAATATTTTTTTTTTTAAAATATATTAATATAATATTTTTATTTTTATTTTTTAACATTAATTTTGTATGTCATCACATCAAAACAATACACAAACATCGCTTTCCTTGTTTTGTTTGATAACCTTGTTTTGTTTGTTATTATCAATCTTTCTTCCTGAAATAGTCAATCTTGATAATTAGAATAGATAAAGCTTGTAGCAGGGCCCAACTCTACTGGTCCTGTCGGGCAACAACTTCACTTTACTAGGTTTTGTTAAGTAGTAGGATCTAACGCTAAGAGAGAAAAAATTTAATCAATCCAACCTCAAATGAAAAAAAAAAATTGTTATCACCTCACTTTTATATAATACAATATAAAAAAGTCCCATCATTTATTTTTTCTTCACTATATTAAAAAAATTCAATAAGAGAAAAGGAAAAAAATCTACAGATACAAAAAAAGTAAAATTTAACATATTTAGGTCTGGCTTAAAACTGAAACCAATAGCTTTGGGTCTGGCTACGAGTCAGACCTAGTAGTGTTGGGTTTGACTGCCATACCAAACTCAATATCTGTTAAAAGTAATTTGAGTTTGACTACCAAGCCAGACCTAACAATTTTAGGCACAAAACACACAAATAACAATGCCTCCTAATAGCATTTTTTTTTATTAAAACACAAAAAAGACAATGCTATCTTATACTACAATGTGGTCCATAATACAAATACTCTATATCTATAATATAATCCATAGTATAACAAGTCTATATTCACAATAAATATACAATATTTTTCGATCCCTTTTAAAATATAGTATAATGTTTCATTTCCTATTCTTACTTTTGTAATTTACCTTTCAGTATTTCTTGTTCTTAATATGTCTTTCATTTTATTGATACAGCCATTACCTACTCAAGTTATAAAGCAAATTCATGCATCTTGTTTTTTGTTTATATATAAATGAGTTTTATTTTTTAAAATAAAAAATATTTATTTTTAAATAATAATCCTAATATATATAGTCCTATGTAATATTTTTCTTATGGCATAAGTTTATTTAATCAATTTCATTTATATTTATATTATCTTTTATTTATTTAAATAAACAAGTTAATTTCATACAATCAAATAAATATCTTATTTTATATGATTAAATTATTATTGGTTAAAATAATGTTAAAAAATAATTGTAAATTTCATATAAATGGTTTAACCATTTATCATTAAATGAATAATTTTTGTTTGTTAATTTAAAAGTGTATAATTTATTTATTTTTATCTAAGTATTTTATACTTTTTTGTGATAGGTTCCAGGAATTTTAAATCAGGTCCATGTAACTATTGAGTTGGAGGCTTAGTCAACTAATTTTAAAATTAAAAAATTATCGATTGTTTCTTTTGTTTTTAGATATGAAGTTATTTAGTTTTTTCATTTGTAATGATACGTGTTTCTATTTATCATATTATTTTATTTCACCTATTTGTTATATTAATTTATATTACCTTCTATTCAAAATATATTCTCGACTAAAAGTCTTTTAGATTTGAAACAAATCTATACTATCGTGTGTTATTAATCAAAAAAAAATAAGAGTGATGAGATTTGAATTCATAACTGTTTAATAATCAAAATTTTAATATCATATTAAAAAACTTTATAAATATAAAAAGTTAAATTGTCAAGTGATGTTTTAATATATAATTTATATTATTTTCTAATACAATCTTATAAATGAAAGTCATTTGAGATTAAAATTTGTATTGATTCACATTATTTTATGTTTAATTTTTATTAATTAGATTGGAGATAATGAGATTTGAGTTCATGATTATTTGATTTTTTGTTTATAGATTCACATGACATAATATTGTTAATTAAAAGAAAAAATAAGAATATCAAAATTCAAACTTCTCACTATTTAATCATAAAACTTTAATACTATGTATATAAAAAATAAGAATATCAAAATTCAAACTTCTCACTATATATATAAAATCATTTTAACTAAAAATTAAAAATAATTGAAGTTACAAAGTGAGGTCTCAGTACAAATGATGGATAACCATTTAAGGGTTTTAATTTCAGCACGGCAACAATTCTAACAAAATATCTAGAGATATGTGGGAATATTATTAGTATTTAACTGTCAGCAGAAACATATTACTTTAGGAATAACCTACTAACCAAAAATATTCATTGTAGCCAAATAGCTACTCTGTGAACAGTTATAAAAAGTTGCTGTAACTTAAAATTAACCCCATGGCACTGTCACTGAAGTTAGTTTTACTTTGTAGGGAAGTTTCGATGTTCCAGCAAATCCTCCAACTCATATCGCTCGGATATAACTTTGTACACTTTGCACCTTTGTAATACAACTTCCTGAAATTTTAAGAGATGGTATATTTTCTGAAAGTTTCCTTAAGCTAATCTCCTCCTCTCCAACACAACAAGGCTATAATGAATACCTGCAGTTAGACTTCCAGGTTCTCGCATGACTGTTGAGGCTATCATTCCATCGAATCAAGGCCCTTCTGGTATTGCTTTTCAACCTCTTTTTTAGAGCATCTCCAACCTGCCTGGTTGAAAGAACAGGCAAAAGAAAAATGTTGTACGTTTAGCTTTTATATTTTTTTTTATGCAATCCAACTGGGCAACTAAATAAACAGCTAAAATCGCTATTGAACACAGTAATTGCTATTTTTACATTTCTCTGTAGCAAAAGACAAATGTAAATAGCAATGTTTGTTATCGTTTTTTCAGTTGATTTATATTCATTGGCCAACATCTTTATTTTGTATCCGTTGGCCAATGCTAATTTTTTTCTTTTAAAAGGAGAATGAATAGAAAGAAGAAAACGTTTAATTTTTTCTTTCAAAAGCATAAAAAATTTAGAAAACTTACTTGTAAATTTTAAAACCTGCATTGTGCCTCACCTTTCTCTTTAATTTAGAAAAACAAAAATCAATTATCCCCGGTTATTTAATAACATCGATTGTATTAATTTGCTAAAATCAAAAGATATGTTTACTTAAAAACTTTTTATATTTTTTCTTTTGCATCTCTTGATTCTTTAGACTTTTTATTGTTAACTTGTTATTTGTGATTATTTTGATTTCTTTGTTATTTTATGTTTTTAATATAGGTTAAGAAAGACAATTTTTATTTATATTGTTATCTTTGACAAAATTAAAATGAAGTAATGATAGTAGCTGATATTAATAAAAACATGAAGTGACATGTTTTAAATTTATTTTTGATTGTCTGTTTTAATTTAAGGTTAATTATATTTTGTCTTGTTAAAAATACAACTAAACAAGTATATTAATCCTTTTTAGTTCCCAAAAATAATCAAATTGTAATGGTTGTATGATTAGATTAATGTTAGAACAAGTAAAAGACAATTCTTATTATTAATTCACATGTATGGAAACTACAAAATTACTAGACATTGAATGTGAGCTTCCTTTACACCTTTTTATAAGGTTTTAACTTGAGTGTTTTTTTTTTAATGTAGATGGATTCAAATTTTTCAAGTTCTTTTACCAACTTTCTTATGAGCAAGTCAGAAGATACTCTCTCTCAACTAAGTGATTTTAATAAATTAATTGATGACTTAACATGCTCAAATTTAAATGTCCATATAATAAAAAAATCACAATGAAGTAAAAACTTCTCACCAGAAGAAGATTGTTTACTTGTCTCATTATAGTTAAATACAAGCAAGGATCCAATTATAAGAGTTTTACAACAAACAAAACAATTATGGGCTCGAGTACATGCTTACTTTGTAGAGAATGGAAGAAATTTGAATAATCATTTTTAAATAAGCATCTTAAATAAATGTCAAGAAATAAATAGAGAAGTCGATAAATTTGTTGGATTTGTTACTTAAAGTAAAAATCATCAGTAAAGTGGAATGACCAAAGAATCAAGGATAATTTTAATATTCATTTTTCATATTAAATTATTTAACATATATTTTAATATTATTGAATTTCTTTAATTTTTTACCAGCTTAATGATGCCCAGCAAATACATGCTTTTTGCATTGGCAAATAATTTCAACTAAAACATTCATGAGTTATCTTAAGAAAAGAGCCCAAATGACAATTTAAGCGTGCAACTCAACAGCAAAGATCAAACAAGAAACAAAAAATTCATATCAATGTAAGTCCAGCTTCATCAACTCCATCTACCCTTGATTTTGTTAGTTTAGGAGAAGATGGTGAACTATTGGTTTATCAAGATAGACTAATTATTCAGAAGGCTGTAAAAGAACGACTTAAACATAAATAAGAAAAAGATAAAGTTGGGGAGGTAACTGTAACAAATTTCTTACAACAATTCAGGGATGCTTTAGTTGAAGTTGGGGATCAGAAGAAACAAGACAGGAAAATTATGTTAGAGCAACAAGTCATGATGATTCAATAAAGTCAAGAGAAACAAGAATTGGACAAGAATGAGAAAAAAGAACAAATTATAAAAATAAATTTTTCTAATTTGGATCCAATTTCTGCAGCGTTTTTTAAATAGAAAGTTAGAAATTATGCAAAAGAAGGGTTTTAATTTTTAATTAACTTGATTGATTTATTGTAATGTAATGTATTTTTAATTAAATATGTCAAAAATTCTTGGTTATTTTAAATATATTATCATAAAATTGATATCAATTCATAATACTTTTTTGAAGTTCCTCTGACACATAACAATAATAAGTAAGATTAATTAACTTAAAAGATAACAACTAAATGAAAAAAAAAGACATAAAAAACTTGAAACTTATGATGACATAAAAAGTTCAAATCTAATGATTCTACTCGTTGCTGTATTGTTCCTATAAATATTCAACTAAATCTTCTTGTAGTTGAGAGCTAGTTGTTTTATCCCTAATTTGATTACGAGTTTGAAGAAAATTATGTAGTTCTAGTATTTCACCATGTGACACTGATATAAAGGAATTGACTTCATATTCATGGTCAAATCCAAGTTTCATTGCTCCTTAATCCTCAATAATCATATTATGTATTATTATGCAAGCTTTCATAATATTTGCAAACGTTTCTTCTTTCTAGTATCGAACAGGTCCACGTACAATTGCAAAACGAGATTGGAGCACCCCAAATGCTCGCTTCATATCCTTTCTTACAGACTTTTACTTACTTGCAAAATATTTTCTCTTTGCTCCTAATGGCCTTGAGATTGTCTTAATAAAGTTTGACCAATTAGGATAAATCTCATCTGCTAAATAGTATCTCATTGTATATTCATGCCTATTAATTGTATAATTCACATGAGCAATATAACCTTCAGCAAATGCAACAAAGATAGGCGACTGATCAAGAACATTAATATCATTTAATGATTCAGGAATTCCAAAAAAGGCATGTCATATCCAAAGATCTTATGAAGCCATTGCCTCTAGAATTATAGTTGGTTCACAATAATGACCACTATACATCTCATGCCATGCATTTGAGCACTTCTTCCATTTTCAATGCATACAGTCAATGCTCTTTAACATCCCTGAAAATTCACGCTGCTCTCCAATTGATAATAATCGATAAATATCGGCTTCGTTTGATGCCCTTAGATGTCAATCACCAAAAACTTCTATGATTGATTTGATAAAAGCTCTAAGACTTTCTCTTGCAGTGGTTTCTCCAATTCAAAGATATTCATCAGTAAGGGCTGCAGGAATACTATATGTAAATATTTTTATGAGCTGCAATTACCTTTTGAAGGCAAGATAAACCAAGAACACCAAAAGTATGTCATTTGTTTGAAATATGGATTATGAGCTTCCACTGCATTTGTGATCTGAGGAAAAAGACAACAACTCATCATAAATCTTCTTCAAAATTAACTTTAAGTGAATTTAGGATTTTCAACAAAGTAATCATTATATAACCTTAACTCACCTTTCTTTCTATTACGATTGACAATATTGTGACTAAGAATAGAGCTGCGATACCTTATTTTCCGCCCTTGATTATTCGATTCTTCTTCAACAACCACAATGATAACAACTTGAAAAGTGAATACAAAAGTGTCATTATCAAAATCAAAAGCATCATGAAAATTAAAATTAAAATGATTCATGATAAATTTCAATGAAATATAATAAAGATTATAGAGAAGAAAATAATGAGAAAAAAATGTTAAGGTATATGAGAATATTTATAGATGAATTATTTTTTTTTAATTTGAAATCTTAGAATGTTGGTGGTCATTTCTTTAAAATTTAAAATTTAAAAATCTAGAATGTTGGTGGTCATTTTTTTTAAAATTTAAAATTTAAAAATCTAAAATATTGGCGGTTATTTTTTCAAAATTTGAAATTTTAAAGTTTAAAATATTGGTAGATTTTTTCAAAGTTTAAATTTGAATTTACTTTTAAAAAATTAAAATTTGAACAATAATATATAAAATTAAAAATTAAAAATATTCATATAAATAAATTTTAAATTATATCTTTCAACTTTCATATCACTTCATTAATTTTATATTACTTTTATAAATTACTCATATTAATTATATAATAAATAACATCATAATTATATTATATATAAAATATCTAAATTAGTTATATAATTGTATTAAAATTAATTTAACATGAAATATATTAAAATATAATTAGCTTTTTTAAATAATATTTTATCATTAAAAAATATACATAATCAAAATAGTTATATTTATATTATTTGAAAAACTATTTTATCAATTTAGTTTTTTAAAAATATAATTATGGTTACTTTTTAAAATATTTTTTACTCAGAAAAATATACTAATAATAATTTTTTATTTTTTAAAAATTATTTTTAAGATTAATATATTAAAATAATTTAAAAATATCAAAAATAGATTAATTTAAAATAAATAAATAAATTTTTAATTTTTTTTTAATTTTTTTTTGAAATGGATAGAGCCAAACACGCTTCGACTGTTGTGATGTGTGCTCGAGTCTGGATCCATCCCTCATGACATGGTCCAGTCAAGACGCTCCACTTTTATTAATTCAGATTCCAGACTCATGATCTTCTCTGCCTTGACTTATGAGTTCCAGCATCCCATCCTCGCCTTTTCTTCTTCATTTAAAAAAAAAATGAAAACCACGGGACAGGAATAAAGCAATGGCCTGTGGCCTCAAATTCAACAACAGGCTCAAACAAAAACACCCCCACAAAGTAGAATGTCCACGATCCCTGATCCGGAGCTCTAGACTGCCGCTAGACCATACAATCTCAGCCCTCTTCGCCAGCAACTTGGCCTTTTAGCTGGCTCCAGTTACCGATTCTTGCACCCATCTTTAACTTCAAATTATACCCAGTTTTTATTTTCTTTACAAGAGAACCGATCATCATTAATTATTATCTCTTTTTGGCTTTTGCACTTACGATCAAATCTACAAACTGAAGGAACATCAGCGGCTAGGAATATTGGAGACTGAAAGCTAGCTTTGGTGCTGTCGTTAGCCATGGATGTCGGTGGTGGTAGACATAGTTGCAGACAAAGAGGGGGCGAAGCAAGAAGAAACCCATTTTTTGAGGTTTTCG